TTCTCTACTGCTGGTTGGCCGAGCGGTCGCAAGTGCAACTCTCCGGCAAAAGGGTCTCGGGTTCGATTCCCGGGTTGGGCAAAGTATTACTGGTTATTTTTTTAAATCTCATTAGTAGCACGGCGTCTGGAATTGTACCCGGTATACTTATGGCAATTGGCTTACCTCCTATTACTTGGGATTCATAACATAAATAGTGAAAAGTGGGTGTTACATTGTACAGTGGCATTAAGTGCCGTAATGTGCACCTTCGGGGATAAAAGGCGTGATATTATATTATATTATTTTTTCTTGAATACACAAATATTTCATTGTATTATGTCCCCTACGGTTCACTACTTAAACCAAAACAAATTAATAAGACAAATATTTTGGCGAATCTAACCTATCAAAATGTATTCCTGGAAAATGTGTACAAAATCGTTGAAATTAATTTAATATTTATGTATGTATAATGGCTTTATTTAAAGCAAGTAAATTAACTTTTTAATTTTCAGAAAGAAGTTAATTAATTGCAGATTGAGCAGCCACCTGTTACGTTGAACTTAATTTGCTTAATCATTGTGAAGTTTATCTTAATTTCGGAAAATTATAATGTCGTATGAGGTCGTCTTAAAATAGCAGAATCGTCATCGCTTATAGCTATTAGACTATACGTAACTGGTAATAATTCTTTCAAAAACTACGCTTAAAAAACCGACTGCAACCTCCTCTTTTTTGAAGTCTGTTGATTAATATACTAAAACCCTCTCCTAAGAGTAACAAACACTTTTCTGGAAACCACATCAAAATCAGTTCAGCCAATTGCGAGACAATCCCGCACAAACACACATACATACAGCTCAAACTGAGACCCTCCTCTTTTTGAAGAAGTTCCGATTTCGCTTGATATATACGGTGACAATGCGCGACTTATATGTCCACAGCGACGTTGCCGTTGCCAGACATGTCGACCAAAGTCCGCCATTGTCGCACTACTTCACCCAACGTAGAGCTGCTTCACCCAACGTCGCGCTATTTCACCCAACATCGCGCTACTTCACCCAACGTCACGCTACTTCACCCAACGTCGAGCTGCTTCACCCAACGTCGCGCTACTTCACCCAACGTCGAGCTGCTTCACTCAACGTCACGCTACTTCACTCAACGTCACCCTACTTCACCCAACGTCGAGCTGCTTCACCCAACGTCGCGCTACTTCACCCAACGTCGAGCTGCTTCACTCAACGTCGCGCTATTTCACTCAACGTCGCGCTATTTCACCCAACGTTGCGCTACTTCACCCGACGTTGCGCTATTTCACCCAATGTCGCGCTACTTCACCCGACGTCGCGCTACTCCACCCAACATCGCTGGCGACACGTGTTGTAGGACACTTGTCCCCTAGTGTATCCTTAGATTTAAGCTTTAGATCTTTCTGGAAATCAAGTTTCAAAATACCTAGGCATCCGTCAGTTGGTTAGCTACAAAAGTTATATCTACGTCTTGTTTTGGAGTCACTTCAGTCAGATAGTCAGGTATATAGGCCATGAAGCCTTTATTGAAACTAAAGCCCATAGAAAGGACATACCAACCTGACAACAAGAGAATAATTTGTTAGTTCACATCAATTAGAATATTCTAACGATGTTAGTGTTAAAAACTAATTTGGCTAGAGGCGAGGCTGAGATCGGGAGAGGTCGGCGAGGATCGGAAAAGGTCGGCAGGTCGGACTATCGTAAGTCAGATAATGTTTACTTAAGACCAACTTGCCGAGCGTAGATAGTGCCTATCTTCAAGGATACTCGAACAAAAACAACGGCCGCAGGCGTTTATTGTTACAAGCCCCGTTCATTATACATAGTTATCTCTACTTTGTTATATTAATTTCGTGTTGCGGTTTTTGGGTCGAAATGGAGCAGTATAATGGTAATTCCCCATTATATTTAAGGTTATTTAACGTTGGTGTTCCTTCTTGTTGCGTAGATTAGTGGGTAATGAGGACTTGTTTACGCTGCTCGTTAATTCACAGCGTTAATTAACTGAACATTATTTTTTGATGAACTCACTGTTAGGTGTAGTGGCTTTTGTGGTCACTTCTAATTGGTTGTTTTGCGACTGTTTTGTTGTCTGTGTGTGTGTAAGGAGAGAGTGTTTTTTTACCATCTCGTGAATTTAAATCTTACATTTGGCGTCCTTTTTTTCAGTTTTGAGGGGGGAAAATCATCCAATGCCATCTCCTGCCCGGGTGAAGCGAGAGAGAGTGTCAGACTCTTACTGACTAAATACTACCCTGTTCCTACTCCTGCACTTCGAGCCGGAGCCCCGGCAACCCGTTAAGTCTTCTGCGGCTCCGTATCGGCATCAGCCCTGTTGGGCCCCATCTGTGGTGGTTTGATGGCTCCTTGAGGCGCCCGCGCGCGCCTCGGGCCTGGTTCTGGTCGGGCGGCGAGTCACCCGTGCTCACCGTCTGCAGACCCGTGCTTACGGTGGCCGGAGATCGTCTCGCGATCCCCGATGCCCGGAGAGTCTCTCTCGACGGCCGGGGCGTGAGGAGGTTCGTTCCCTGAGGAGGTTCGTTCCCTTACTTTTGGCGTCGTAGTCATCAATATAATTAAGGATCCGATATTTCTTGCTCGCTAGATAACACTAGATAAACACGCCTGTCATTTTCAGACATATTGTTTCATAATACAAACAATCCTCTTACAGATCCATAATAAAAGCAGCCACAATGGTATTTCAATTAAACAAACAAGATAAGTGTGCGGCTCGTATCCATGACAGACAATTATTAGTGCCAACAAACGATACGGTGGAGCAAACAGATTTCCGTACATCCATCAAGGCACTAGCAATATGCCGTGTCAATAAATACGACATTCATTCGATACGAGGATCCAACGAACGCGAGCGTCACTGTGTGCTGCCTCTAATTTATCGAACCCAGCATTCGTTCAAACAAACAATTCGAGACATGTAATGCCAGCCATCTGTATGTCTGTATGGTATGCTCAAATCCCTGCACGCTATATTGATATTAATTGGACGACACAGAAACCGCTCGGATGGGACCAACAACAGATTAATAAAGGACGAACTCGATTGTAGGAATTCCCTTTGTGAGTTTGTGATACAAACGTCAAATAAATCCAAATGAACGGAGGTATTTTAGGAGATTCTTTATTTCTTTTAATTCACCTGATCAAATTGAATACTTTTGATTTATGTTCGGGCGTGGTGTGTGATTATAAAGTCAAATGAGACGAGTAACAATCGTGTTCGAGTAGGTACTCTCAAGAAATAATCGATGAGCCCTCAGCCGTGGATCCGACTGGCCTGATATTTTGTACTTAAGTGGAGTAATTTTCTATTACATTGGTTAAAGTGGTCTTACTTCTGAGATAAGTGGTCTGGCTAGTTTAATCATTATTCACCGTGCTCTGGTAATAAGTTTAAGTATATTTATCGTCTTTTATACTGCTGGCAAGTTAATTAAGCAAGGACACAGGAGTCGGTCTGCGCTCGGAGCTTTTCAACGTTGAATTCAGCGTTTTTTAAGTAGCATTTTCTGTAGTCAATGGTTTCTTAAAGCGATAGAGACATTCAAGTACTCGTCGTTTGTGACTTGACTCTGTAATTTCAATTGAATCGCTCTGTGAAATTATTTCTAGTTCAACGAGCGTTTAGTTTTAGATTTATTATTCTGAGAATTTCGGTGACCTTTAAATTAATTATGAAAACTGATCCCTATTCAAATTCATTTACCAAAGTCTACGTATACATAGGTAGGGCGTACCTTTCATGTTTCGCGATTTATTAAACAATCGTTTAACAAGCAGCTGTATATTGCATGTACTTCAATAAAGGGTATGTGTGCTCTGTTTTTTATTTTTATTGGCAATTAAACAATTAACCCGTCGAGAGCCACAAAGGAATGGGGGCTCCCCACTGTGCGGGGCGAAATTTTATACTCATTGAAGGCGTATTGTGGTGAATTTAGGGTTTGTTCTCTCTCCGGTTCGTGAGATGAAAGCTTTGGACTCGTGAATGATTCCCATAATATATTTCAAAAATAAGGCTGCCTCACAGCTGGGTACTGAGTGCAGACGCAAATTAGGTCGCGCTTATGCACTATTGTATTCATCTTATATGCGTTTATTTTGCTTGAGCGTGTGAATTCCATGTTTCTTATGCTGTCTTTTTAAAACGTTGTTATCCCTTGTTGCTATCTACGATTATGAAATAAAAACCAAATACGTTTTTTTAAATTTATTTAATAAAAATCTCTTTTGACTTGAACACGATCACTAAATTACAGACAGTTAAAGAAATATTATTTCATGTAACATTGAGATTATTTTACGTCGTATCAGTCGAGCTTAGAATAATAATAGTTATACAAACTCCCTCACTGACTGATAAAATGAAAATTTACATTATTACTTATCTATTTACATTTCTCTTGTGATTGGTGATAAATTATATTCTTAATTACTATGGTAGCGGTTCACTCTACGTCTATATGTTGTAAGTATTCGCTCAGGTTACCTTTAAAAATGACAATTTAATATGTAAAGACCTTTTATTAACGTTGAACATTTAAGTATACACATGATAAAAAACATGACATGAATCTGTATAACATTTATAAGTGCAGTAAATTACAGGAAGATAATTTTATGAACGAAACAACATAACATGTGTGCATCGAGATCCTTATTAAGAAATCACAAACAATTACTGGCAACATGTGGCGTAGAGTGAAAGCCGTTCAGTTTTATTTATGTTTGTAAATCAGCACGCATAGTAATTCCCATATGTCAAATCTGTACACGTAAAGCCGGTGCTCCATTTGAGACGCCTCGAGCTAAGCGGATGTCTCGAATACAAACGACGCCTCGCGCCGAGGTACGCAAATGTAATGGATCAACCACTTAATACCAAAATACTACTATAAAGGCATGTGTTCCAATCCAACACCGCGTTACACATACAAGAATGAATCACTATCATCACAATAATATCCCACGAAACAAAACACAATATTACTGATATTTTATTCAAATTCTTATTTACGAGGACACTCAACTGTTTACGAGAAATGCATGTAAAATATAGTTAAAGCGTACGACTGTGACTGTATACATACATTCATATTTATTTACATAAATTATAAACCAAATAGTGCACCATATTTTTCGCATGTATTTACAAAATATACAATTACTATCAACTAACAATTATTAACAATAGTTTTACCGAATGAGATAAACGTTTAAAACTTTTATGAAACAAATGAATTTACACATACTTGGATGTTGGAAATAAATAGATTGGACCTTACAATTCTTGTAGCTCGGGTCATGAAGTTATTTACACGATCAGTAAATAACGCAGTGACAGCTGTTCCAGTAATGTTATATCAAGCACCATGTTTTGGGCAAAGATCTGTAGCTTTTAGAGTTATAAATTTTCTTATATCGAATTACTTTTATATCTAATATTTTTGATATAGAAAAATCGCAGATAAACGCCAAACTGGTAGACAAAACTGAAGTATTAGCTAACATGGCAGCTTCATATCATTTACAAAATCGGTTTCAACTTTGTCAGCCTTTTCATGTACCTATTAACTACTAAAAATTGATAAGTAACAACAATGTAGTCATTACGTTTCTATGAAACGATCGTTATAACAATACGAATAATTAATTTAGGCGTTTCTATCACTTCGACGTATACTCTCCTCGCTTGTCCTACAGTAACATTTCAATGTCTGTTCACTATATTTACACTGGGTACACCTTCGAACAGTTTGTCTTTGAGACTCGCTGAGGTGTCGACAATCTAATGGCGCCCGTTGTCGGGCTCAAATGGAATGTTTCTGTTCAGTGTGACACGATCGATTTAAGAAAAACATCTTTCGTATTATGTGTTCAGCGTTGTCCTGCGGCGTTGAGGAGTCCCTCGGAGGAGTTGGAGGCGGGAATGCCTCGGGGGACTGGCCCCTCAGCTCTGTGCTAGGGAATCCAGCGGCACCACCAGTTTTCCGTTGGAGTAGCTGTAACAAAAGATGTCTATTGTAATTTTGAACCATGACCAGTCCGCAATTTAATTTTCTTTTGTTTATATATAGTTGAAACTAGTTGCTATGCATGTTTAAGTTAGGTCAATGAACGGAACAGTAAGTAATAAGTAGTTATTAACCTGTATGGTATAGTGGCTGTTCTGGATTTAGCTCTGCTTGGCCTACACGCGTCATCTGCAACCAAGACATTTGAATGTGAACGATTTTAAATGGTATGGTCTTCTTTGTAATGAGCGTTTGTCTTGGCGGATAAAATGGAAACTTTCCGCTTGTTCATAGTTTATATCGTATCGACGAGGTTTAATTAAGTGGTAGCGCACGCTATTGTCTCGGCTCTTGCGGAACAATACTTATCTTAAGCCGAAGTTAGTAGAAGTAATATCTGCGATACCTTAATGAGGGAACTTTGTATCGACTTCGTTAATCGTTTCTGACCCGACCGATTCGATCTGTTCCACCTTTATCATTTTAAGTAGTTTTGTTTGTTTAAAATTACATTGTTAAGTGTACAATTGTGCTGTGTATTGTTATGGAATGAAAACAAAAATAAATAAAATAAAATTAGGTTCATGAGTTTCTCTAAGAGAGATAAGTTTTTGAATGGACGCGCCTTTGCCAATTAGTGGGTAATTAATATGCATTACTGGTAGAAAGTTATCAGTTGAGGGAGCCAGTGTACTTTCTGCCAGCAAAGTGACTAGTGTGTTGGCGGAGAGCCTTACCGTAGAGCGGCTAACATCGTTGTGAGAGGCACGCATCGCATTTGACGGGCTCGGCACGCCGCTTGCCCTGAGAGCCCTGCGAGCCGGACTTACGCCGGAAAGTGTACCTAACGAGCAGACCTGCAATGCAAAACGCCGCACCGTTAACAAAACAAACAACTAAACCAAAATGAAAACAACAAACACAGAGCCACGCGCGCGCGTCCATCTGAAAAACGCCTATGGGCGGACGAAAGCGGGCCAAAATAAAAAATAAAAGAAATGATGCTCTCAGAGTTTTCATGACTTGATACCGCTAGGATTCATTCACGTTTTATGGGAGAATGAAACTTTATGCATTTCTGTATAGGATTTATGTTTATACTACGTTGTGTGTCGTGGAACTTCCTAAGTGGCGACGACGAATGTTTCGAGTATGTGCTTATGTTTCAAGTTTAGTTTGAGCTAAATACAGAAGTTATGAACTCATTATAAACTAAGACAATGCTAAGATTCTAAGGTAACTACAGACTTAAACGTTTACATGCTTTACTAGAAAATGAACAAATTAAATGATCTTACTAAATAATGATAATCGTAATCTTACCAGTTAATCCAGCTTTGTTGATGCTGTTAGAACTAGAGAAACCTGATATTTTCTTCCACGCCTTTTTGTTCCAAAACCCGCTAGTTTTGGCATCTCCACAGCTGGAACTACGTGGAGATGGTATATCCTTGGGACATCGCAAGCCACACTCTTCAGCACCGAGGATCCGCACGCCGGCTCCACGCGTGCCGTACGCCACAGCAGGCAAGTGCGGCACTGATCCCGTCGGTTTACGGCGCAAACTACCTACATAACTTGCCCCGCTACTGCTGCCACTAAACCCGCTGTCTAAGTCTGGTGGATTACAACTTGCCGGCGAGAGTAACTCGTCCGTCGGACCAACTCGCAACAATTCCTCGATATTGTCTCTGTCTTCTGCACGCTCCGAATCGGGAGATTCGCATTCCGGCATCAGCATTGCTTCTACACTAAGATTCAATTCGCCCAAAATTCGTTTGTGCCTCGATTCTACCCGACGAACTTCCTCCTCGACAACACTTCTATCTAAAGAAACTAGTGACTGACGTGGCGCGTATCGATGTTTGGGACACGTTCTAGAGCCATCTGTGATTTCTTCATAAATGTTCTCTTCGGTGCCATATCTAGTGACATAGTTGTGTCGAGACGACCGATCTCGCGGTATACCGCCTCTACCTCGCTGACGGTTTACTTTTCTTGATGATGAAGGCATTGATAGGTGATGGTCGTAGTAAGCATAAGAGTAATCAACTGGTTCAAATCGTTCCATAGTTGCTGCAATATTGCTCCTGTTCCAGGTCTGAGGTGGAGGCTCTCTAGATAGATTAACTGCGGCGAGCCTCGCTGGAAGGATTTCATCCAGATCTCTGGCACATCGTTCATCAAGTGACTGTGCACCATCGTCTTCCTCGCGCCTGTGCTTCCTATGCGGTCGGCGTGATGTTTGTGAGCGTCCGTGTGCTCGGTCACAGTCTGATCCATGGCCATGATTGTAATCAGGTGTGTGGCTACGATTGTAATCAATAGGCCTGTGCTTGCAATCAAGCGTATGGTGATAATCAGGAGTGTGCCTCAAACTGTAGCTGGAATTTCCTTCAAAGTCCGAGCGATCATAAGAAGGGCTGTCATCAGCATTGCTAGTATGAGCATGGGGACAGTCGGCAGCGATGCCGGATTCTGAGGACGGGTAGTCGTGAACCTCTGCTGTGACGAACGACTGCTGCACGTGGTCGTCTGGTCGCGCGGGTTCTGATGTGGCATGACGGTGATGAGGGCGCGGTCGCGTGCTCTCGCGGCAGCTGGCGAAGGTCCGCTGCAGAGTAGGAGGGTGTGGGTACCGTCCACACCGACTGTCGTACACCGCCTCCCCGGGCTCGTCGGGGCTCGGCGGCGCGCTTCGTGATTCCATGGCTCATCCTCTCATATCCAATTAGTACCTGTAAAAAATGAAAGAATATTAATATTTTTTGACGCAACATTAGGCATAAATATGAAATATTTTTCTTTTTAATAAAAGTCACGGACCGAGTACGGTAGCGGAGCCGAGGGCAATGAATCCGAAATTACGTGCTGCGTGATAAGGGTAGGGTAAGTGACGATCAACAGAGCAGCCGACGTCGATATATCATCATCAGTCGCCCGGGTAATAAATCGGGGACTTTGTGCCGTGTTTACATTTTGTATGGCAGATTTTTAGAAGCTTTGTTGTTTGGTGATACGCGGCGTAATGTAAGGTGTGCGAATTAAGAGTGATGTGGGTATATTAGAAGACAAATTCATAGTATAATAACATATCATTTGCTTGACGTGTGAATATAAATGTACAGACATTCATATTTCTCAATAAAATGCAAATAATGTATGACTTCATTCGATTTATTGCCCACAAACACAGTAAACTATCATAACCGAATTCAAAAATCAGCATTTTTATTGCGTCTCGCTCGGATGTTATTGCACGAATTCCAGACCAATTTATTACTATAACGATCAGTGTCCGTGAACTAGTGGCAAGGGCGGGCGTCGGGACGCGACACCCTCGGTTTCCATGGCAACAGGGCCCCGCGGTTTATCGCGTCGCTTCCGCCCGATATTCCTTGCATCTAAATCATCATCAGTGCTGGGAAGCGGATCGTAAAGAGCCCGTTGACCGTCCATCCGCTATAATTTGTTACATAGTCCGCCATTGCATCGCTTGGGATTTGGGCTTGTATTGCCCAAACGACGTTCTATGCCAAGCTTTGGTATAACGTAATTTTCGGGACACTTTTGTGGCCACGTGAGCACAAAACATTGATTCATTTTGTAATATGCTTTCCTCATACTAAAGGTGCGATCGTCAACGCGGTAAACAGAATGAAAAATATTCTTTACATAAAAAAAAACAAATTTCACTGTCGATGTGGAATTATATTTGGTGACAGAACGATACATTACGATTGCGTTCCCATACGCCGCTTTGTAAGCACATTTTTAGCTCCCCCTTTCTACGTCCCCTAAGCTTTAAGAATATATTACGTTCTGTGAGGGTTAAAAAATCATGCAATGTACATAACAGCGTCGTAATTGCAATAAAATTTATTAATGTAATAGAGTATAACTGACACTAATTGCCGTCTTTAATTTATGGGGATTAAAAATGTCCATTAAAACGTGGCACGTACACTTAAACAGTAACATAGTATGTTATGGAACTAATATAATATGTTTTGAGGTCATGTTGCGAGATTTGGTAGAACTTTCCATGTAAGTAATGTTTTCAAAGTAGATTAAGTAATGAGTTATTTGTTGTATACCATTCTGTCTATAATAAAATAAAAACTGCGTTTAAAAAACCGACTTCAAAAAACCAAAAAGCAAAAAATAACTAGGTATTATTAGTACTGATAGGTTAGAAGTCGGTGCCATAAGTTCTATACAAAATTATTCATTAAAACCTTAATAGATATAATTATCATTATGATATGAGCTTAGGATGCCATCATCAAATCCTGACCTCATGGAAATGGGACCATCTCGGGAATATACTCTTTAAAACAGAACAAGAATTTTGGAAATCGGTTCACAAATGGCGGGGTAATCGGTGAACAAACTAGAAAAAATCAAACAGCCGAACATTGTACCTCCTCCTTTTTTTGAAGTAGGTAAAAAATTACTAATGTTGAATTGATAAACACACCGAATAGTAATAGATACAAGTAACGTAAACTACTTAAAGAACTAAGTCTGCAGTTGCATGTGTGCAGTTTAAAAAAGTTTTAAAACAAAGTCTAACAATACGATTTCTAAAACTACAGCTGAAAAATTCTATTCAACCAAGTCTCAGGTCAACGTACTTGCATTAAAACAAAATGATACCTACACCTAGAATTCAGTTAGAAAGAGACAAAACGCTGACATTAAAATCAAATAAGCACTAGCTGCGCCGTACCTAACCAAAGTAATAATTTTGCTGCATTAGAGTAATCACCATCCATCAGGAGGCGATAAAATAATAAGTGTTTCATTTTCTATGCACCCCACACCAACCATCATTATAAATAATAAGTTTTTTGTCCAGTGGACTCATGTGGTCTCTACAATCACAATGATAGTTACATTTTAACAAATTACTTCCTATAACTTAAGCCATAAGGTCCCTTTTCCTACTTTAGCACCATCGTCCATGTTAATCGGTGTCTGTCCTTTTTTCCACTCTGGATGGTGTTATGTGGTATTGACAAATTGTTGATTAATATGAAATGTGATGTTTTTACGCGATTAAGATTGTATACGTTTTAGATTGTTGTTGATAGTGTCCGTTTGAAAAAATGTGTTCTCTTTGTATAGAGCTTAGTTGGAGTTTACTTTTGGGGTACAATTTTAATAAACGTTCGAACGATATGTAGGTGGCAAGTTTATAGAGTAGGTACCTACTAGCTGTAGCCCGCGACTTCAGACGCGTAAAATATGAATTTTAGGACATAACAATTTTTAAATTTCAATTTGCCAAAATAATAATAGCTTATATTAATGCTTAGTACTTACATCAGCTACCTGCCAGTAAAAGTTTCGTCAAAATCGGTCCAGCGATTTCAGAGATTAGCCAGTATAAACAGACAAAAATTAGAAATAAATTATTTTGGTTTAGGTGTCGTATGTATATTCATATGCATGTAGTAAAAAGCGGTTATTTGAATATTATTTATTTATTTTAGGTACCTATATGATAATTAATATTTTTTTTCTTTAAAAAATACAACCGCATTGCTATGCCCGTTGCAGTATCTTCTAGAAAGTTCCAGTTCGTTGCACCGAAGGCTAATTATTTATGTATCAAATACCGTGCCAGTGTCTGGTGACTCAATACTTAGGTGACGACCTAATGAAAGCTTGTCACGTTCTAATTTGTCGCTAACTAACTAGCTAGCTACTTCATGATTGACTTGGCTTGAGTTATGATGGTGTTATTACACAATTGTATGGCTTTTGATAATTGTTAAAGCGGTTGTTAGGATTTTTTTTAAATAGTTATATTAGTTAATTGCTGTAGTGGTCAACAGAATTAATTTTACATCAATGTACTTGGTAGGCCCTTAGTCCTTTTCATTTTTGGATTGCGTATGTACTAAGTATGCACTAAAATGTAGCTTGAAGTCAAAGTCAAAGTCAAAATCAAAATCATTTGTTTCAATTAGACTAGAAACGCACTTTTGAACGTCAATAAAAAATGAAAAGCGAAGCTATTTGCTCATTCTAAGGTATGGATTCCTATGGAGAAGAACGAGCAAGAAACTCTATAGAGGTAGGTTACTGTTTTTCAATCAGGTTCACAATACAATTCTCTAGCTACATAGTTTTGTACTTTGGATTGTGCGATAACAATGTAACACTAAAATCCAGTCAAAGAGATCGAAACTGAACTCAAATTCCTTATAGGTAAGAGATCTAGTAAAAGAAGACTTATTGTCAAAACGAAACGGTTTAAAATCGAAATTCTATACGCTTTTTGTATCAGTATCGGCGTGATAAGAATTTGTCCCAAAAATATTTCGATATTTATATCTTTGCGCCAGATGTCATGTTCTGTCACAGATAGATCACGTTTTACTTATTTATTTAAGGAAACCACTTTTAAAGTAAGCAAATACATGCCTATATTTAGGTAAACCATTTTGATTGATGGGTAAGGGTTAAACAGCTTATCTATATGTGTGAACAGATACTATTTAAAAACGTAAAGTAATTTTACATACGTGGTATGATTTTCTGTTTGTATAGGTATACGTTTAATAGTCTTGTTTTACATAATATACAGAAGCCTATCAAATAGATGATCAGCCTAGTGTTTTACCAATTGTAGACATCATTAATACAGACTGAAAATGACATACAAATTTATTTCCTTGCAAGTAGACAAAAATCACGAACTTGTTCAACACTACAAATAATTTAAACACAGAGACATTGTCTTCAAAGACTATACACAATATGTATATTCTATGATTAATTATTACGTATTTCAGTAGTTGCCAGACTGCCTCGTTGGCCTAGTGGTCGCAAGTGCGACTACCGGGCAAGGGGTCTCGGGTTCGATTCCCGGGTCGGGCAAAGTACTACTGGGTTTTTAAAAAAAATCTCAATAGTAGCACGGAGTCTGGAATTGTGCCCGGTATATGGCAATAGGCTCACTCATAACATAAATAGTGAAAAGTGGGTGTTACATTGTACAGTGGCATAATGCGCACCTCTGCTTACCCTTTCGGGGATAAACTGCGTGATGTTATGTATGTATGTGTATTTCAGTAGGTACCAAAATCATGTAACACATTGTAATTACTATGTTTAAAAATACAAAAATCTGGAGCGGTAAAAGTGTTCCGAATATGTTCGTTATGCTTCGAAATAAATTTATTATCTGCACCAAAGGCAGCCGCTGTGGTTTGCTAACCAATTAAAATTTTATCCATCGATACATTGCTGAGTTAATTTTATAAGTTGGTTCACTCTTCTGTAGGTAGTTATAGGAACTATGTATATAGGTTTTAAGTATTAATAGAGTATTTGAGGTATATTTTTACTTTGTGTAGATCTCTTTAATTTAACAGTCTTTGTAGAATGACTGCAGACGAATGGTCGGACGTTCAGGATTTTTATAAATATATATTGTATAAGACTAGATAAGGTAAACTATTACGATTGTTATTATTAAGACTTTTTATTACTATAAAATCTGAGCGATCTGTAATTGTAAATGTGTTCTATGTTTTTTAATAAATTTATTTTATTTATTTATTATAAAAGACCTAGTCTAGTCTTCGAATAGCTTTGCTCATGTTACCGGGATAAAAAGAAGCATTATCTATATGTTATTCTTCATTATATCTCTGTGCCCAGTTTCATCTATGTCCCTTTAGTAGAATTTCGTGTAAGATCAACCAATATAAATTATACACTT